ATTTTAGTTACTTGTAATAAATCTGAATACTAAATTAATTTTATCACTATGTCCAATAAGTCAACAAGCATTAAAGAAGATTCAAAATCAAACACAACAGCAAATCTTCATAATTGATGAAATAACAACAAATGGTGAAGGTTGGACTGATGATGCAATACAAACTGAAAGCGAAGGTTCATATGATATTGAAATGACATTATCATCTGATGTTGTATGTTTTTATTCAAATATATAAATTATTTGTTTATTTTATAAATATTTCTAAATTTTTATTTTAATTATCAAGATTTGATGCATATTCATCAAAATTATTTTATCCAATAGTTGGATTAAAATTAGAAGAATTCGTTGGGCGCCTTCAAATCGCTTATCATTTAATAACAAATGAAAAATTTCGTTCAATATTATTATCTGTTCCACTATTTATTATTGAATCATGTCAATTTATTCTTGAAAGTCAACCATGAATTGAAATATGTAAAGAATATACATTGTTGGTTGATAAATGTCAATGATAAAAACGCAAAATTTTAGCGAAAGATAATGAAAAGCATTCATGTGAATTAGTTAATCATGACATTAAAATTTGCAATTAATCAAGTTTTTGAAATTAAAAATTTATAAAACTGCAACAAGTTTTCCCAAAGGTTTATTGAAATTGCGATCAGTACTTGATGTTATTCAACAGGTTTTTTGTTTTACTATTCATATTTCATTTTCAAATCAAGAGTTTTCTCATTTTCGACTTTAACTACGAAAAGTTTTAAGAGTAAACATAATTTGTGATTCAATCGTTTTAGAAGACGAACAAAAAAAATATAAAAAATTATTTCCTCTATTACTTTGTTTAGACAGGAAAAGTATCAAGTGTTTGTGAAAAAAAATCCAATTGATGAACATCTATTCAATTATAATGAATATAATCTATTTGATATTTGTGCTGCATCGTATGTACTAATTTATCGTTTGGAAATTTAAAAGTGAAGTCAAATTTAATTTAAAATAATATGTAACGCTTGTTTAGGTGAAATTCATTAGTGTGAAATGTCGATTATCCGATGCAGTCTATTTACCGAAATTTAAAGGATAATTATGTCGTGTTATAACAGCAACTGAAAAATTGGAAAAGAATCTCTTGGTCTTAGAATTTCGGTTGGTCAATTTTGTTAGAATAAGAAGAAAAAAAAAGAACTTTTTTTAAAATTTTATTTCATTATTATTAACGTTTAATGGATATACTTATCATTTTTAAAAATGAACTCCTCATTAGAATGTTTTTGTTATATTTTAAGATCATTCAAAATTCAACTAAAATTGTTTAATCATCAGAAGAGTAATCGAAATGTTTCATTTTATTGTCATATAAAAATCTACTAGATACAATTGTTTTTTTAAAGATAAATCCAAAGACAAATCTTCTTTCGTTAACACTTTTATAATGAAAATCTGTTTCTGAAACGAAAATTTAGAATCAATAAAATTGTTTAAAATAAATTCACTTCAATAAACATTGAAATTCTATGATAATAAATATATAAATAAATAATCTCGATTTATAAAACGATATCAATGCAACTGAGTACTTTATAATAGTTTAAGAGATTTTATTGACATGAGTTCATTTACAAAATATAGAAAATATAGGCTAGTTCGTTTTCTTTAATGAACTGTAACCAATTTTAATTATAATAAAACAAAGCTGATGATTGGATTCAATTTACATGAGAAGAGCAAGTAGGCAAATTTGTTTTTTGATAAGATTCTTTCAGTTCATTCAATTAGTGAGATGTCATACGCATCTATTCAATATTCATACTGGCAATCTCTTTTGTTCAACTTTATTAAACATATTGAAATTCAAAACAATTGATTCATTATCAGACTGTTGAAAGTGTTGTTAATAACATGGATATGTATTTATATTCACTAATAATTAGACTATATAATTAAATCATTAATAAGACTAAGAGATAATTCGATGACGAAAGATATATTTTTTAAAGATTTCTTCAATGTTTAAATAAATGTAAAAATGAACAATGAGAAATAAATTTTCAT